TTGGTCTCGTATCCATAAAACAATGGTTAGTTGACCATACTACAAACGCTAATGAGGTTCCAAACCTAGTGTGAATAGGATAAAACAGCAAATTACTATCGCTTGGACCACGATGCTTCTTCCGGTCTTTATAATAGTTTAACGAAAATCTCAAGTTGTACACCAGGCGTTAACCTATAGAAAAATATGCATACCAATTTGGTTTCCAAGGGAGAATCCCCTGGAACACGTCGGATAATTATAGGTCGACTGAAGCATGTGAACTGGACGTCAAGGACTTCGAAAGCATGATAGTCGAAACAGGCTTAACACAGTTGTATCACGGTTGAATTGCAGAAGTCTAAAGAACTAATTCGCACTGTTCTAATTACGTTTTTGTTTGTTTTGTTTGTCTGTATCTGTTGTGACCTATTTATGCTGAGTTGTGTACAGTCCTTATCTTTCAACTCTTTGATGCAAAACACCAATAAAAAACAACGAAGATCAACTTCTAAAACCAGCGCTTCGCAGAGTAACACGCGTCTCTTGTAGCTCAAACCTGAAAAACATGTTCCCATATTTCATATGAAAACGTGCAGAATTTCATCCCTCGAATCCTACTGTACATACATCATTTCGAATGACCTGCCAATACGCCTCAAATAAACTCAGGTGGGTATTTATAACCATATTCGTTTTATAATCGGAAATCCGAAAGAAAAACGATTTCCGTGGTTACGTGGTGCGCATCGGAGTGTAAGAAAATTAGTTTTCTTGCTTGCTCCTCGTAGATGAATGAAGCAAGGAACGTACCAGGTGTCTTGATTTACTACTCAAACGTGGTCTCCTCATCTAACTCAACATCACATCATCCATTCATGACATAAGCAGAATCCAGACACATGGGCTACTCTGACTACCCCCATATTTCCCGTGGGGTGCTGAGAGCACACCCTGATACTTGAACTGCACTGTGCATCGTCGTAAAACATTGTTATTTTTGTACTCAAGGCTCAGTTATTTATAACCTCATGCTGACTTCAGCCAATGTGCTTCCAGGGAACTTCACTATGTTGCTGCGTCTCATAGGCGAGGACTCTAGATTGCTTGTCAAACATATCAAAAATTCAAATGTTGAATGAGAGGCCTGGCTTACAACTGGGGCACTTTATACCTGACTATCAACGGCCTCAATTTGTAGAGGAGAGACCAGTGTAACCTCCTAGCTTACTGGGTGGCCCTCAGGAGTTCATTCTCTATGGAATGCGGATGAATGATCAATAAAGTTATCTGAGTAGCGTTTCGCACTTTCTCAACAGCCTACTTCACTTTTTAAAAGTCATCTCGGTAAGTGATCACAAATTCACTGAACAGGTTCGTGAGTGAAACCGGTCTTAAATTTAAACCACGTGCTGAATGGAATTGAAGGAAAACAAAGAAAATCTTTAACTTAACGTTCTACTGATTGCTAGTGAACGGGTGCACATATGCCCTCAACCAACCAAATTGTACAGTGATGCTTGACGAAAGTTCATACGGAGACTCAAGCCGCACATCATCAAAGGCATGCTGCCATGTAGCCAAACCAGGTGAAATTTACCATTAAATTAAGTGTGTTTCCTACACATGCCACATTCATATCCAGCTTAAAGCCTACACATCGTTCGATCCAATGGTATTTTTCTACTCAAGTGAACACGGCATCACCTAAAATAAATCCACAATTGTATGGACATAACGCACTACTCACACGTTTGCTGGAAACTCCCTGACAGCCCATGATCGGTATCACCTTTCTTCGAACTCATCAGGTAGGCGTAGATCCTTATGTTTCGTCAGCCTTATGTTCTACGTGAACCCAAACTGGACAGGTTTGGACGATTACACTATTTTTCTTTCAGTTTTATCTCGACGGAAACCTGGAACCCAGCTAACTTTCTCGTTTATGACGTGTTTAGGCAAGTAAATGTGGTACGCCTACCTGCTTCTTCCTGATGCTGGGTTGCCAGCGTGTCGGCAATTATAATCAACGGATTATCCTATGAAACACCTGGCCGACGAAAAGCCCACCAATTAGAACAACGCTTCGAATAAATTGTTTAGCTGAGAACTGCTATTTGACGCTTCAAAATTCTCACGAAGAAAAATCAACCTTTCGACGAATTCGTTCCAACTCATGCAACTAGGTGTCACCTTACTTAATGTCTAATATATGTCATATGATACCACGTCATATTTAATGAATAGTGAGTCGAAAAAAGCACGTACAAACGGAAAAATGATAACGAACGATTGTTTGGGAAATGACGGAATCAGTAATGATAAGTCAGCGAAGTTCAGCATACGTGAAGTTGGGTCGCGTGCGTGAAAACACGGTAAATGGACAGACGAAAAATGCAACCCTGGAAACGAGAACTTGGTAGGACAATCTTTTGAATATACAGGAGAGTTGTTCTAATTTGTAACTGGCAAAAGCCTGGCGGAGTCAAGTCAAACTTAAAGATACGTCTTCTAGCCACTCAGTCTTTGTGCGAAGCTTTGAAGAACTTAATTAAGCCCAGCGCAACAGTTTTGGTTTTAACTCAACAACTACCAGTCTTGTGTGCCAATGCAGATTGTTGAGTGAACAAGGAGCTTTATGGAGGTGTCTTCTCCCATTCGTCTACTTGATCGTACTTGCAACACGGGAAAAGTGTCCTTGCCTTTCCTGCACACGTCTTTCTTTCTGTTCGCTTCTGTGAACAAAGTTGACTTAAACGGAATATCTATTGTTCCCTTCGGTGAGCTAGACTAGTCATGTGGTTGTCCCTGAATCTTCTCGACGTTCACAGAAAACCCGATCAGCGCCAACCACTAGACATGGGCCGATAATTTAGGGTGGTTCTTGGCATATTATAAACCGACTCTTACGATAACTAATCTGCTGTGCTCTAAAGCTACTGCTGCTTTTCCAAACGCTTGCTCATTGCCATAAACACCATCCGAGGTGGACGGCATACGAGGAATATCCTCTGCAAATGACAGGGCTATTGTTGTCCTTTTTCCTAGAGAGCCTCGGGGGGGGGGGGTTT